AAGCAAGAATCTATTATGTGGCCAAAGAGTTATTTTAACTAACAACTTGGAGAGTAAAACAGGATAGATCCTTTGACTTATCTCTCACAATACTATTCAGTGTAAGTATATTGTGCATTTAACTGAGAAATATAAAGCAAGGCACAGTAAGAAAGGCATAAGAAAGGCCCTCAGCAATGAAAGCATTTCCTAAGACTATCTCACAAGGCAGCCAGCAAACCAGAGAAAGTGGCAATGGACACAAACTGTAAAGTCTCCAGTTCAATGAGACCTATGCAAGTGGAAAGCAAATGACACACAGGAAAAATATATTTGCAACAATTTTAAGTGCTGATGAGTGTTACATGCTTTATATAAAGATCCCTTGAAAATATTTCCTGTGATGATCAGTCTGCAAATTGTATTTAAAGCACAGGAGAGAAATTATAAGCATTTATTTTCATGAAAAATCATCTCAAGTCTGTTTTGTTGGCCCGATAACCACCTCCACCATCTACCCACAAACTACCCAGCCAAGACACAAACTTGTACCCCATCAAAGAGTACTCCACAGTCATTTTGATCTGTTATTTCCTAGAATTGGGGAGCATTTGAAATAATTTGTCAGGATAACATAATGTACTTCTAAGAACACTGGAGATAAATTTATTAAACTCCTTCATGTAACTAATTTTTATTATTAATTTGGGATTTATTTTTATTTATGTGTATGTATGTGTGCCTGCATAAGCTCATGTGCACCACATGTGTGCAGGTGCCTGTGGAGGGCAGAGAAGGACATCAATTCTCTGAAACTGGAGTTATAGGCAGTTGTTAGCTACCTGATGTGGGTCCTGGGAATTGAATCTGGGTACTCTGAAAAACCTTAAGAGTTCTTAATCATGGACTCATCTATCCAACTCCAAGAATAAAAGTTAAGCAATAGGAGGATATTGATCAAGCTTCATTTTTACTGCTAACTACAGTCGTTTCTCTTTGGTGAGTAGGAATCAATGACTGGAGAAGTTGCAGGGACTTAATCATACTAGCTACTGTCTATCAAGATTACTACTTGCCAAACATTAGTCCTGAGAGAAATGCCACTTATTAAAAAACTAAAATTCTGTTTCCCCAAACCCACATCTTTATTCAAAAAAGACAAACGAATACTAATGAGTAGCAATTATTCCAGTGTCCTTAATATAGCACCACACAATTGGTACTACAAGTTTGCTTTCAAGGTGTACAATAATTATGTAGTATTTCCAAATGGAAATTTTCTTAACAGAGTATTTCTTATTGGAATTGGTTTCATTTCTACTCTTTTTAGAGAAGGCGACAGGTTAGGAGGAAGGAGTGGGAAGGAAAGAAGGAAGGGGAAAAACTTTAAAGCCGAAGGACTTGGGACAATGCATATGATTATTAGACAGTGAAATAAAATGCAGTAAACATGGACAGCTTTAAGATAATTTATCTATAGTTAAAAATATACCTGTATTTTAACTAAAATTATATGTTGGCTTACAAACTTTGTGACTAGCTAGCTATATCTTTTATAAAATAACCATACCTTAAAATTTTTTTGATAGTTTATAATTTATATAATGAATTTTGGTCATTTTTATTCCCTTTTATCTTCTCTCATTGCTCACCCACTGAAAGCCTTCTTCTAAACAAATAATTTCCCTTCTATTTTCACATCTTGTGAGAGAGGGAGGGAAGGAGGAAGGAAGGGAGGGAGGGAGGGAGGGAGGGACCGAGACCTACTGAGTTTAATTAGAGTTCGTTCATGAGCATGGGTAGGAGGTTATTTACTGGAGCGTTGGCAACTTAGCAGGCAGTGGACACTGCAGAAGAAAATGACACCTTCTCTCCCAACAATCATTAACTGTCAGCAGTTCCTTAGGGAGAGGTGTGGCCTCATGAGCCCCACCTCCATCCATTATGAGATACTGACAGGTCCAATATAGTGCAGACTTGGTGCAGATAATGATAGTTCTGTGCGTTCATAAGTGCAATGGCTATGCAATGTCCAGAAGATAACATTTAGTAACCCTCCTCATCCTCTTGTATATGATGAAGCCCTTAGAATCACCATCTATTTGTCTCAGAACAGGGACTATTATAAATTTCTTACCACACTGAAGATGATCTAAAGAATAGGCTTCTTTGGAGAATTTTGAGTCAGAGAAGGCAGGACTTGCCTTTCTAGCCCTCAGAGAAGTGTGTTGATGCTGTGTGCTTGAGGATTTGGATGCCATTGCCCAATCCGTTGCTGCCTGGAAATGTGAGATTCTGGTCACAGAGTTACTTCATTGTCTCCACTTAGGGGTGGAATTGAGGAAGCTCCTTGGCTTACAGGACAATGAGCTCAGGCTTTGATCTCCAGGCTAGGAAAACTAAAGGGGGTTAATACCCTTTATTTTAGCTAACTCCTTGCCATGAGTAGGTACATGGCTCATTTTCAAAATGTCTTGCTTCTTGAATAACAGCTGACTTACTTCACTGTTTATTTAGAACATGACAGCAGACGCAACTGACTCTGTGATGGTGGGAGCTTTGGGTGTGACTTGCTTACATCTTGGTGAGTCAGAGAACAGAGATGCTGGAAAAGAAATAGATCTCAGCTACAACTTCAAAGGCCTTCCCCTGTGATCTACCTCTGCGTCCATGCCTCTAGGCCTCTTAACCAAACGTTCCACACACTCCTCAAACAGTTCCACACCTAGGGAGCAAGTGTCCCACCAAATGATCCCACAGAGGACAGTTTACATCCGAACTCTGCCTCCACATGCTTATGATCATCTCTTAACTCAAAATGAATTCAGTCCAACTTCAGAGTAGTCATAGGTTCAAGTCTCCATTAATACTGCTCAAAATCTAAAGCCCAAAGTTTCTTCTGAAATTCAAGACAAAGTCTTAGCTATAAGGCTCTGGAAAATCAAAAACAATACATTATATACATTCAATAATGTACATTGGCAGAAAGTAAGCATTCTATATTTGTTTGTTTATTTTTAAAAGTAAGCATTCTTATTCTAAAATGGAAAGAAGAAGGATGACAGGAAAAGATCAAGTCAAATAAGTATGAAACCCAGGAAGGCAAACATTAATCTCTCTAATTCTGTGTCTGAAATCCAAGTGTCATGGTTGCAGAATCTGGGTTCCAATAGACTTACGTAGCTGTCTCCCTATGGTACTGATACTCGCAGCATGCTTGGTATTTTAAAATGTAGCTCCACTTATTGCCTGTGGTGTTTCTTCTGCAAATGATGCTCCAAAGTTTTAGTAGCTTCAGTGTTGTTGGCCTATCAAAGGCTTATTGCAGGGAATTTGACCCCACCTCACCCTGCCTGCCTTCACAGCATTCTGCTATTCATACTCCTCCATGAATAGCTAACTCTTATATTCTCCATGTCTGTGAAACCAGTAACACATGGATGATGTCAAGTTCTGGAATTAACTTGAAATGTAACTTGGCCCACTTAAGGCATAGCTGTATTGCAGTATAAGTGTATGCACGGCTGAATTGGGAAAAATAAAAGATTTCTTTAGGTGGTCATATTTGAGAAAGAAATCCATGCTGTCATATTCTCTGTTTCAAGCACTTTAAGAAAAGTAGGACTTGCCTTTTAAATGAAAGCCTGAATCGTTCCACGCTGGAGCTTTGGATGCATGGCACATGGCATCTTACCTTGGTGATCTCTCTCCCCCCCCTCTCTCTCTCTTTCTCTCCTTTCTCTTGACCAGGTTTCTCTTTCTCTATAGCCCCATCTGGCCTGCAACTCACTATGCAAACCAGGCTGAACTCAATCTCACAGAAATCTGCCAGCGTCTGCCTTCCCAGTGGTGAGATTAAAGCATGTACCACTGCGTTTAGGTTGAGACATGTCCTTATTAATTGCTAAGAAACATTCTTTTTATTAAATTTTTTCAAATTTCATACAATTTATTTTGATCATATTTAGACCCCCTTTCCCTACCTGCGCCCCTTTTATACCCACCCCCACCAGATTTCGTGTAGTCTGTCACATATAGTAAGACCTATCCAGTCAAGTTTGTGTTCCCACATGTCCTTCCGCGCTGTCCATCTACTGGACTCCAGTTAACCTATCTAGCACCACACCCTTAAAAAAAAACTCTCCCTCTTCCAGTAGTTATCAGTTGCCAATAGTTCCTGAGCTAAGGCTAGGGCTTCTTCCCCACTTCCCCACTTCTATACCGGGAATTTGTCTGGTTTGACTTTGTATGGATCGTGCATGTGCTGTCATCATCTTTGTAACTTCATATGAGTAACTGCCCAGATGTCTGGAAAACTCTTTTTCCTTGTAGTCATCTACCATCTCTGTCTCTTACAATCTTTCTGCCCCCCTCTTCCATAATGGGCTCTGAGTCTTGGGTAGCTGAGGTTTGATATAGGTGTCCTGTTCAGGAATCAGCACTCTGCCGTCTCTTATTCTATGTTCCTTGGCCAGTTGTGGCTTTCTGAGTTAATCACCATCTGTTGCATGAAGAAGCTTCACTGGTGAGAGTTGAGAAATGAATTAATGTTCTTTCTGTGCCATTCTACTATGTTCTCTGAGTCTTAGGTGTAAAGGTTGCATTGTGGATGTGTCATTTAGGGCTGGGCACCTCACAGACACTTATTTGAATTTCTAAGAAACATTCTTATGTACATCTCTGCTAAAATGCCAATCACACTGGCCTAATTTATGTCTTTGGTAAATTATAGGACCAAAGAAAAGACTTAGGATGAAATCAATGTGTTTAAAGATATGTCACTAACCAACTGTGAAGAATAAATTTTCATCCTGGGCATGATTCTAAATTGTCAATAGGTGAATTTAAAAAATAAAAATAGTTTGAATATTCAGGAACAGAAAAACATAGTAAACATAGTTTAAAACTACATAAAGCAGAATTAGTTTTTCATATTGATCAGACGGCAACAGACTAATATTCTATGATCTCCACTATATTGCATATTTTTTACCAAGAGTGAAACTCAGTTACTTGTTTGGTTAAAACATATTTTTATTCTTTTAAGTGAATAATATGTATAAAATGCTATGTGACATGCAAAAGAAACATCCAAGCATGGTTTTTCTTTTTGAACTGAGCAGATTAATCCTAATGAGGTTGAATGATCCTTTCAATTAGCTTTAATAAATATGACTTTCATCATCCTAGTTTATGCTGAGGCATAAAATTAACAAAACATTGACATAAACCATTTACTTTATATATAGTTCATATATCATCTAATATAAGAGATTCAAAAAATAAAAGTTTGGACAACAGGTATGAAATATAGATCGATGAAATGTCATTCTATACACTTGTTCATCAAGATCTACATATGCTAACATCTCTCAGACTTTGACAAAAGAAATAGTAAATACTGACACTGTCAACTAATTGTCATTAAAAACATACATATGATGTAAAGAGACTCAATTCAAATCATATAAGAAAGGGAATGATCTACAGTTAAGCATGTGGCAATTATCTTTCCTTTGGCACTATAGTCATATGAAATCAACCTGAAAGAGTGTGACACTTAGAGACATCTATTTTTAGACATACAAAGTAAAGTGTTAATAACAAAGGGAATGAAAGCCTGCTTGTCATACATTCATTAAGAACATACTATTCTTAAATATTTGTATTATTTTTTTCCAGCAACCCACTGTTTCATTTCTAATGCTAGTCTATTTTCAGCTGAAAGCCAGACGTGAGGATCTAGGGAGAACATAGTGCTCTACTCTCAAGTGCTTAGTGAGTGGCTTTAGAGTTGAGTGAAAGTTCATCTTCATTACTAAAATAAAATGATAAAAAGTACATTCTTATTTATAATGGGTCAAAATTATTCTTGCAAGTACAAAAGTATCATGTTATATATATATTAACACTTGTCATTCAGGGCAAAAACAGACAGAAAGTCAGAAAGCAGCATTTTTATGTAGTTCACAAAAGACAAGACAGCCAAGAAATTGGTTATTTGGTACAATAAAGATTCTGTTTTAGAGAGAATTAAGACCAGTGCCGGCACATCTCGCTTGAGGACAAGGCTAGTATCTTTTCTTCTTCTTACACTTTCGGAATTTTTGGCTGCCTTCATTTCCTCTATTGTTTTCTGGGCTGCTGTCACTGTCACTAGCCTGCTTTTGCCTCTTACGTTTATTCATCTGATAATGGTCAGGCTCACTTGGCTGTTGGTGCATCCATTCATAGCAGCTGGGTCCAGTCTCTAGGTCTGGAGCATGATTTAAGGTGCAAGGCCCAGATGCACTGCTGGGAAGCAGAGCTGTCATGTCATAGAAAGGAAACTGTGACACAGGATTCTGTAAGAAAAGATACTCATCACCAACACACAGGCAAAATATGAAGAAAAGCTAGCACTTTATATGCACATGCAAACAACCGTGCTTAAGCCAAACTGTATTTGGGTATAAAAAAGCAAATTTTATTGTATGGATATTGTGGAAGTCACTTTAAATGGTTAACACATGGCTGAAGAGATGGCTCGGTAGTTAAGAGCACAAACTGCTCTTGCAGAGGACCAGAGTTCAGTTCCTAGCGCCACATACAGTGGCTTAAAATCACTTGTAACTTCAGCTACCAGGGATAAGACAGCTGGCCTCTGTGGGCACCTGCAGTCATGTGTAAACTATCCCTCAAATAAATACATAATTTTAAAAATAGAAAAACAAAATAAAAATAAATGTTTAACACAAAAGTAAAAATTAAAGAGTCTGTGTATCTTATACAGTATAGATTAGCAGTATCCAACAGACATAATATACCTTAAACATAGATGTAGATTATGGACAAAATATAAAAGGAATGATAAATAAAATTAAATAGGGTACTTATTTATCCCAATATATACCCCAAATATTGTCATTTGAAACACGTTTGCAATATAATATTATTAATGAGATATTTTACTTTTCAGGGCTGAAGGATTAATTTAAATTAATTAAATTCAGGGCCTTGGTCTTGTTAGGTGGGAACTCTATCACTGAGATACATCCTCAAGCAGGTATTTTATTTTTATATTCAAAGGAAGACTTCCCAAATCTAGTGTCCATTTTATATTTACAGTTCATCCCACTTGGAAGCTAAATCTTCACTGAAATTATTTGCTTTGATTTAGATATATATGGACATCATTCAGGAACACAAATCAGACTCTATAGACTGTATGTATACATATGTAAGAGTAAATTAAATTGGGCCAGGGGGCAGGTGGGGGAGAAGTGCAGATAGGGGAGCGAATCTAAATATCATCAAACTATATTGCAGGAAAATCACGAAAATCACAAAAATTCAATTAAAAAAATATATATATATAAAGGAAAAATATATTAACATGCTCAAATTGTTTCAAATATACTTTAATATTTCCCAATAAGTGATTCAAGTATTGCTGTTAAACATAATTAAAATTAATGAAAAATTAAAAGCTTTTTAAATACAAATAAATAGTTCCCATGTAAAAAGATGCCATTATCAATTTAAGATACAGAAATATCTTCATGTTTTAAAACAAGTAAACTGTAAACTCTGACAATTTTAATTAGAAGATGGAAATAGTACCAGCATGAGCTAGTCCCCTGATGCGACCCTAGAGTGACTCAACACTGAAAGGACCCCAGGAAGGAGACTGTGATAGTTTCAGGTAAGGATTAGTTATTGATCAATATTTAGCTATAATTTAGAAAAGTTTTCTCCAAAAGTTAAAATATCATTTTACATGAAATTTTCTAACCGTTAATAATTACAAATGGAAATTGGAAAAATATGAAGCTGACATATGTATTAGGTATTTACAAAAATAACAGCCTGTCTTTTATGGTTGTGAGCCTGAGCCTTTAACGCCTGCACCGGCCTCGTCTACATAGTGAGTTCCAGGACAGCTGGGGCTACAGGAAAAAAAAAAAAAAAAAAAAAAAAAAAAAAAAAAAAAGTAGCCTGTGAAGAATAATACCAGCCATTTGCACCTATTGCTTAGGAGTTTATAATTCTGGGTTTGTTAAGTAATGTCTCTGGACTTTAATTTCCTTATTTATAAAACAAAGAATTTAATGGAAAAATACTCTAAAATCAAATACCACAATTAAGATTTCTAGGCTAGAACCAAATTTTGGAAAGCTCAGATATGATAGAGCCGACTCTACCAATCAGGAACCTTCAAATTGTTTTGTTTTCCAAAATAAAAATTTATTTAATAAAATCCTCTTTTTGTGAATGATAACATCATATAAAATACCATATTCTAAGTAAAGCTCTTCAATTATGAGAACATCTTTTGAAGTAGTCACATGGATGAGAACTTGGTACACAGATTCCTGTTGGACACTTCTGTCATCACTAGCACCTGCTCCTTTCCTATAAATACAACAAGACTTTCACTGAGGCCTTACACATTGGATCTGCAATGACCCATCTCAGCAGAACAGTTCTGGGCAGGTACTACATTGATGTCAGGTTTAGATTCGAATACCAAATGTTAAGAATGGGTCTCCTGTTCTTATATTTGTATGTTACATGCTAAACAAAATATATTTCAAACTTACCATATTCTGAAAGAAAAAATATTCCTGAGGTAAAGCAGTATTATTAACTGGAAAAAACTGCCTGGGAAAGGCAGATCTGCCCAACATTTCATCATTCCTTTGCAAAAAAAGAGAAACATCAAAATGTTAAGATACTTAAATCAAAAACCCTTTTCTCTTAAAAAAAATAATGACAGTTAACTTCTCTGGCAGTCTTTGTTTAACTACTTTAAAGATACATACACACAATCACTTACTACACTGATAATGTAATAACATAGCAATACATTAAGTACTTAACTATTAAGTATTGAAATCTCAATATTTAGAGTCACATTTGGTTTTCTGATAGGAATACGTTAGGTCATGTATTTGAAGAAAGAAACACTCAGCTATTAATATAATTAAAAACGAGTCATTTGTAATTACTAAAAGTACATGCCAACTTTTTATAGACAGACAAGTAAAAGGTAGAATTTTTATTGGTTTATTTCTCAATGTATCTTTACAATTTAACTTTAAAACTATGTGCTTAGACCGCTGATGTCAACATGCTTGTTGATACCTTCCATAAGTAAGTCACGATTTTAAAAACTGTGTTGAGTTCAGGCTACTTCTACTCTGATTTTCTCCACACTGTATAAAACAGTGTCTTTTCCAGTTTTGTCTTGCCCTAGGAGACTCCATTTTACAAGCAGATTTGATTCTATCTTGAGAGAGAAGGATGACTGCAGCCACTGGATGGACCCAGAAACTGTACCATATGTCAGGTACCATGTATCTAACACACATGAATAACAACTTAGTCCTAAGAATAGAATATAAGGCACCGTGTAAGTTTACTGAGAACTGAAATTGTGGGGAAACATGAACATATTAAAATCATACCTAGAAAACCAGGTCTAAGAACTAATCTGACACACTAGACTGAGGAAAGAGTGTAACTCCCTCACCTGGACCCCATAAAGTGATGGATAACTAAGACTGTGTTGCCATGGCTGCACATGAACCATCAGATACCTGGCATATATGTCAATGGCCAAGCACTACTCAACTTGGCTTTGTACCCCACTGTTGATACAGCCTTCCCAACTGCCTGCGCATCCACCTGCTTGCTAGTCAGGGCCTGTACCTGACCTGAATTTCCTGATCCTGATCAGTTTCTTACCCTATGTAGCCTTTCACCTGCAGCCTCTTTAGCTTGCACTCATACAATAACCTGTGTATATGTGTATAGGTATATAGATAGATTCACTATGTGTTGTGTGATATGACAGTTAATATTAGTGATAAAGATTTGAATAAAAGCACTTGCACTAGCATTGGCCAGGCTACCAGAATAGGCTGATTTTATGAAAAATTCCTGTGAATGAAAACTATAAACCTTGTGAATTTGTTAATCAGTAAATCCTGATGTTGTAGAAAGACACAAATGTGTTCATCTATGTTTCTGGAATAGTGTGCTCATGACACATGTATCCTAAAGTTTCATTTAAAAGGTAAAATATGCTTCTATGCACCTGTTTCATACACTGGATAGTTTACAGCTATTCCTTAGTATTCTGCCCACTCTACAGCTCATGGATTCTCTAACATGTGCATGGGAGAAGTGATAGCAAAAAAAGATGACAGGTAACACTTAACTTTGTGTAATATATATCAATAAAAAAAACAGGTGTGGATTCTCTACACCTGCTACCTTTCTATGTGACTTTCAAGATATTCAATTCTCTGCATAAAAGAATCACATATAAATTAGGAAATGTTATGGGTTGATACATTTTTCACAGATTCACCTATTGAATTCTTTACCCCTGTACCACAGAATGTGACCTTACTTGGAGATAATGCTTAAGTAAATGCTTTCACATAAGACAAGGTCATACTGAAATAAGATAGGCCCATAATCCAACATTAATGATATCTTTAGGAAAAGGGAAAAATTGGAGACAATAGCAAATATGAAAATTACATGTGAAAAATATGAAGCAGAAATCAGAATAAAGATTTTGTAATCTAAGGCATGCCAATCATCACAATTAAACCAGTAGGGGAGATGCATGGAACAGATACTTCCTCACAGCTCACAAGACTCCAATCTTACTGATGTCTTGATCTTATGTATCCAGTTTATAAAGCTGTGAGGCAATAAATTCTTGTTCAAGCACCACACCTATTGTGTTTTGTTGTAGCACATCCAGTAACTCATTTAGGAACTTGGCACTGAAAGCAGAGGATACAGGAAGCAATAAGAAGCTCGAAAACACATTTATAAGGATGACTAGGGAAGGACTGGGGATCACATGGAAACCATTTTCCCCTGCACCTCACTTCTAGGATGTGCTAGGCTAGACCTTACTGCCTTTATAATGCAATGGATACTGGAGAACAAAATACTACCAATGACATACAGTGTCATGGAACATGCATGTAACTCTGATCTTTCCTAGATTTAGAAACTGTGTAAAAAGCAGAAGCATGGTTTATAAGAGTTCTGCCATAATCATCTGGTCCTTGAATCTAGTCTTTTTTTCCTTTGTGTCATTTCTACTAATACCTTAGTTCATCCGAATTCGTAAGAAAAGTGAGGTGTCATTTTCTATCTGGTACTAAAATCGGAGGGGAGGTTCTTGTATCACATATATGACTTTATCCATAAGTCTATACCACTTTCCTTCTGGCTTGGTTTCAGAACTTTGTTAATTCCATATATAATACAGTGATGAAACTATATTAAACATTTCTAATTTACATTCTCCACCATTTTATGAGTTTTATCCATACTGTTTGCTTTTTTCTGCAACAGAACTGCATCTATTATAAAGTTAATTTTTTCACAGTAACTTCTTAAGTACTCTTATTTTGGAGATGGGGTACAGAGTGTGAAGTCGCTTATCTGTAGTCATACCACTAATGATGTGACAGGGGCAGGATTCACATTTGGGCAACCTGATTTTGTGGGCTCCTTTCTTAACTTCTGATTGTACTAACAGCGAAATGCTCTTGAGAATGAGAATGTGGAGCACGGTCCATTCTTTGCAATGCAGTACATCAACTATAACCCCAGGTAATTGCCAGTCCCAAGAGGTCCATCTCTTATGCTTCAGAAATTTATTACAATTAGCAAGAATAGGAAGTTAAGGTATTTTTAGTTTAATTATGAATATTCAGTTCCTGGAGCTGGAGAGATAGTTCAGTAGTTAAGAAACTGACAGTTTCTTATAAAACTAAATATGCAATTACAAAAAAAAAAGAATACTGACTCTTGCTGTTCTTGCAGAGAACCTGGGTTCAATTCCCAGCATCCACATGGCAGCTAATAACTGTCCATAATTTCAGTTCCAGGGGAATCCAACCCTTTCTTCTGACCTCTGCAGGCATTGCATGGTACAGGTGCACTTACATAATGCAGGCAATACATTCATACATATTAAATAAATACATACAATATTTTTAAAAAGAATATTCAGTTCCTCTACAGAAGAAAACAAAGGATAATGCATGTAACTCATTAAAGAGTGCAGAAAATCAGTAAGCAAGTAGTTTATCATTTGGTGATAAAACTGTATCAGGGGTAGAATTCCAAGACCATGGTAGAATTCCAATACATATTAAATGTAGGTAGTGAATAAGGAAGATCATGTCATACATGTCAAAAAGCAATAGACATCAGTTTCTTGTCATAACCAGTTCTGGGCTAAAAGTTCTGCTTCTCATCTTGCCTCAATCTGCCTAAGAATTTCAGCTATAGTCAGTGGGCATCTGATAGACAAACCAGTAAGCTCCTTCTGTGACTAGGTGGATTTCTGCCTATGTCTCATTGTGTGGTCACATAGGTAGTATTAAGTCCAGGAGGTTTTCATCTGAATGGATACTGTTGCTCAAACCAAGTGTAGTCCTCATCACCATATGAGAGCAAGAAAGGCTGATCCAGCAGAGAGAAACAGACCCTTGGAAAATTAGTATAAACAAGGACGCAGTTCCATGGTCCTCCGTCCCCTTTGTACTGACCTAGCCAACATCTCTCCTCTTGCTTTTCACAGTCTCTTTCAGCTCTTTAACACGGAGAGTGTTTTAGGCATTTTAATTTGCTTTGGAAGTCTTTCTGACCTCACATGGAAGTTATCAGGCAATACAGAATCCTAGAATAGTTTGAAAATTGAAACAGAAGTTTTTTTAAATTGGTAAAATAAATAACTAAATGACTATGCCAGAAAACTTTATTTCAAGACTAATACTTCATCATCCTGTGGTCTTGAAAATCGGTTATCTTTTGAGTCTGCATTTAATGAAACATTAAATATGTATAACAATATTTTATGATTCATTACAACAGGGTCTTGTATGCTTAAATGATTCAACAGCTGTAAAAGAACACAGGAAACTACAAAGAACACTGTAAATGTAAGCGTCTACTAACACTTACTACTGAAAATATTAAGACCGAAAGTGGTCTTGAAAATCGGTTATCTTTTGAGTCTGCATTTAATGAAACATTAAATATGTATAACAATATTTTATGATTCATTACAACAGGGTCTTGTATGCTTAAATGATTCAACAGCTGTAAAAGAACACAGGAAACTACAAAGAACACTGTAAATGTAAGCGTCTACTAACACTTACTACTGAAAATATTAAGACTGAAATTTAAATTCAAATATTTTCCTTTTTAAAAATATTTTACTTATTTTTATTTTATTTTATGTGTACGAGTGTATCATATGCATATATCTAAGTGGACCTGTGTTGTGAAATGCCCACAGAATTCAGAAGAAAGCATTGGAGTCCCATGGAACTGGAATTATGGACAGTTGTTAGCTGTTATGTGGGTGCTGGGAGTGGAACCCAGGATCTCTGCAAGAGCAGCTAGTGCTTTGTTTTGGGTTTTTTCATTTTGTTTTTGTTATTTTTGGGTTTTTTTTTTTTTTTTTTTTTTTTTGGGGTTTTTTTTTTTTTTTTTTTTTTGGTCTTTTTGAGACAGGGTCTCCCTGTACCCACAGCTGGCCTGAAACTCACTATGTTTACCAGGCTAGCCTCGAACTCACAGAGATCAGCCTGCCTCTGCTGGGATCAAAGGCATGCACCACCACTCCCAGCTAGTACCAGTGCTCTTAGGCACTGAGCCATCTCTCTAGCCCTGAAACATTTTTTTTTAATATTCATAGATTCAGAAAAGTGAAATTGTTTTTATCCCATCTATGCAGTAAGGTTCTGCAATAACACAGAACATACTAAAATCCTTCCTGGTCCATATTTATTTACTATTAGTCTTTAATACAAGTTATAACAACATATTTATTGGCTTTACTTTTATCAAAATATATTTTCATTTACCTGTAGTCGTATGAATTTATTTTAACACAGCTCTCAAAACTTTGGTTAGCTGGTTCAGAAGAGTAAGAACTTCCTTCAAAGAAACACAATTAAAAACAAAAGAAAGAAAAAGATTAACTCTTGTAATAATTATTTGGATTTTGAACATTATAACATTAAATAATAATAATCCAAACTTCAAAATCTGATATCTGAGACCTATCACCCCAGTAGTTGAGTGGTTGAGGCAGGAGGATCAGAGTTTAAGGCCAGCCTAGGATATATAGTGAAACCCTAAAAAAAAAAAAAAACCTGTCCTAAACAAATAAAAACCTTAGCCTTTTAGGACAAAATAAAGTCTCAAAATTCCATTTCCATATTAATGTTAGACATATGCACACTTATTTTATGTTTAGAGTCATATTACAGGTTGTGAACATTATTAGAAATTATTCAATTAAAATTTAGCTTTTCAAAAATGTAATGGACAGATAGAACATTATATCAACATGTGACTATTAAGATAATGTTGTTTTGATCTACATGGCTGCAAACTAAAAATAACAAACCATCAGGGTCATTTGCGCCTGTGTATGATGTGTGAGTTCCCTAAACTCCATGGACAAAAGCCAATTCAGTCTTACATAGGATGTGTCCTATAACACACAAAAGCTTATTCTACCAGTCTGTGTGAGTGAAGTTGGCAGTACAGGGATGGGTGGAGTGGGGGTGGTGGTGGAGGCAAAGAACTTTGTCTTTCCAAGAAGCCACAGTTTCTAATTTTTGTAGATCAAGAAGAATAAAACAACAACAACAACAACAACAACAACAACAAGAATACATTACTGAGACAGAACCATTTTGGGGACACCCTTATAATGTTTTAAGAATTACCAAGATGGCCTCTATCAACCCTCTGAACATAAAAAATTAAAGTCAACATTTTCTGGTCATTACTTATAAATGACTAGTTCATTATATGTGTGCAGAAATACACTGGAGCTTACATGAACTTAAATTCAGGACAGTAACAGGTATAGAATGGTTTCAGAAGAAAGACTAGTTAGGAAGAACTCATCTTCCAAATAGTAGTAGGCATTTGAAACCTATATGAACATCGGCAAAAAGGTAAAACAGCCTCGCTGTATAAAATTTATTGTTTATTGTTTTCAATTCATGCAGATTTGGTCAGTTTATAAACCTGCGGGGACCATTGACCATTACAGCTATTTTCTGGTTGATTCTGAAATAGAATATTTAAAATTTTAATACAGAATTGATTATTTTGGCTTGGCAAAGTGGTAGAGCATACCAATTATGCACCATTAGACATTAGAAATGTGCTCTGAAAAAAAAATTAACAGTGATGACAAGGGCACATTTTATTATTCTTTGAGAACAGCAGCAACCAAAAAACACGCTTTGATGATTCATCAATGAGATGACCTACCAAATCGATACTGCACATTAATTGGTCTTCCATATAAACGAATTCCATTCAGCAAAGCTATGGCATAAGACACTGATTCAGGATGCTTGAAGCAGACAAATCCAAAGGACTTTGGCTTTCCTTCTCTGTCTTTGCAAATAGTCACTTTAGTTAGTGGTCCGGCCTATAAGAAACTTAAAAATTATTGTCTCATCAATCCAAAGATTTTTCTTATTATACTTCAGTAAATGAAGCAAATTCAAATTTGAATAAAAACTATCTATTGGCAATAGTTATACCAACAATTCCTCTTACTAATAAATACCATAGTTACTTCTATTTTGTATTTTCTATCTTATCAAAGAAACATTTATAGAAAAGGAAACTATTGGTTCTAATTCAAATATTAAGAGGGAAGAAAGACTATCCTGCTTTTAGGCTTTGAAAGTCAATTTAGAGATTATGTGAATTTAAGATTTGAGCTATTACTTTGTCTCCACATATATTAGCAGTACTTAACTGAAAAGTAAATCACAACGAAAAAAATCATGTTAGTATAGTTATCTTCAAAAAGAAGGGCAAAATGGAGCTGGAGAGATGGCTCAGTGGTTAAGAGTACTGGATGTTTTTGCAGAGGACCCAGGTTCAGCACCCACATGGCAGCTAACAGCTGTTCATAACTCCCACTCTAGGGGATCTGACACCCTCTTCAGACCTCCAAGGGCATTGCACAACATGGATGCACTTACATACATTCAGGCAATACACTGATACATATAAAATAAAAATAATAAAATGAATTTTAAAAAGAATGGCAAAATGACATCATAGATATCATCTTCTGACAAGGAGCTGAACAGAGGCTAAAGAGATGGGACAGTGGTAAAACACTTGCCATTCAAGCATGAAGACCTGAGCCATAATTTCAGAACCCACAAATAAGCTGCACGCAGGTATCTGGAATCCCACAGTGTCTATGGGGTAGTAGGGGTTGAAACAAGAGAGTCCCCAGAAGCCCAAGGAATGTCTAGCCTAGCATATACAGCAGAAATACAACAAAGGAATCCAGTCCCAAATAAGGTTGGAAGGACAAGAACCAACACCAGAAGTTGTCCTCTGACCTCCAAAGGCAGGCAGTGAGTGGCATGGGAGTGCCCACAATCATACACAATGTGTATGTACATGGCTACATGCACACATACACACACACACACACACACACACACACACACACACACACACAAACCAAAATGCATAAGAAAAACTAAATTTATCATGTACTTTGATGTACTAACAGCACTTGGTAAATATTCATAAAGGAAAATTGTTTTAATGTCTTTAAGGTCTATTAGAATAGGGTAAATTAAAAAAATATCTTGTCATTTACTTCACTATCTTATCTTAGGAAAGCCTAGACATTATTTCATCCAAACGATCTATAGACTTGATCTTTTTGTTATACAGGCCCACGATTGTCGAAGGCTTTGGGAAAGTATATTCCCAGATCTTCTTTTTTTAAAATTTTAACAACAACTTTATTAAGAATTTCATACATGCATATAAGGTGTTTCAAAATTTTTAATAAGAGTGGAAAATTACAAAAACTCTGAATGTAAGAGGAAATATTCCATGGTGAATTATTAAAATGGAATAAAATGAAGTAAATTGTAAGTTTCAGAATATTTAGCTAGAAAAACCTGTCCTAGGTAATGCAGAGCAAAAATGCAAAGCCAAATATCTAGAGAAGTGTTAACTACACCTGAGGAAAAAACATCTCCATGATCATGATCAGAGCAGGCATTCACAAAGACCAGAACTGAATGAGTGTTGTATCTTTTAATGCTATTTTTCTGTGCAGAGTTACTGTCATCCTTAAAATGATGCCGTCTCTTGGGATCCAGTCTTTCTCTGTGTGTGCTCTGTGCTCTCCCAGGGACTAGCTCATGCTCCACTTTTCTTCAAAGACGGCATAGTCAGCAAACCCATTTCCCACTGCCCCCTCTTTTATGAAGACAGATTTCCAGAGACTGCTGTGTCATGGTGCTTCACATTCAATACATTTGAAACTGAATTGATTATCTTTCCCTTCAAATATCTCTACCTTAGTATTTCTCAATTAAAAAGCATAATAAATAATTTTCAGTAACTTGAAGGAAGCTACCAATGAAATAATGCATTAATTAAAATAAAAGGATTTTTTTTACTATTCTCCAGATTTCTTATTTTTCTATTACTAACACTAAAATGGAAACTTAGAAAGAAAAATACATATGCTACAGCCCCACCACCACCACACCCAGTGCTGGAGATTGGACCCTGGGCTTCATGTATGCTAGGCTACCACTGAACTACATCACCAGCTCAACCAAAGTATTTTTAAAGATAAAAGCCAACAAGACGTCCTGATAACAACAATCACATATTTGTGGTAGCCGTCATGTTGGTTTTGTTGATTTTGCTGATCTTAAGTCTTTCAAAAAACTGCCTAAGCAAATTTTTCTTGAGCAAAATGAAAACATAAGCTTACTGCCGGATCTATTAAATGGGATTTAAATTTTAACGAAGAGAAAAAGGAAGTGATTTAAAAATGTGGAGGTAATATATATTGCCTTCTGGATATACACAAATGGCACAGATCTGGTCCTTACTGACTAGAGATCTCTTGTGTAAGGGCATTTTCAATCCTATCACCACCTCTTTTGGAGGCTCAACAAGAAAGGTTTCTGCAGGAAAGTTAAGTTTACTCTCCTACTTCTGAATGGTTGTTACAAATCATATTGGATAATAAAATTGATAATGATATTTTTAAGGGAAAACTTAAAATCTGCAGAGGATAAAGATCAAAGTTTTAAAACTGTATTTTTCAAATAATAAAACATTTAATGTTTAGTAGGAGAAATCTTCTGCAGTGAATCCTTACTTTCCAGCTCTGTTTCCAAGGTTAATGAAGGGATGCTTAGATTTAGAGTCAAGGTAAGTAATTTAAACATTGAAAACAACAAAACACAATCAAACAATCCTTTTCACATCTGGCACTCACACATCATATTAGAAATTCAAGTCTGCTATTGTCTCTCTGAGACTTTTCCCTTTTTCTGATAGGAGAGAAGTCACCTTTGAATTCTTTTGAAGTTAGCAGTATTACTAATAACAACTACAGTACCATTAATAGCAGCGGCAGAAAAACAGTGCAAGCTGTAGCTCTGTTTTCACAGAGATAAGTTCATTTATTTCTCCCAGTCACATTACATCATAGACACTATTACTCCCCTTTGGTTTGTCATTTAAGGACACCAAGTTACTGAGATTCACTTATTCACCCTAAGTCACACTGTTGATCTCAGAGCTCTTACTTTCATCAGTTTTTGAATATTTACCTGTCTCCTTTGCATAGTAGCATAAATCATGGAAATAGGTTTTAATTTCCCTTTTTAGAGTCTGTTCCCAGCACATTACTTCGAATTTGCTCCATAATCCTGCCTCATTAACCAGTTACATGAATTACTCTATGACAGTTGTAACCTAGATGTTTGTTTACAGGATGCAGGGGTTGCCAGGTCTCAGACAGGTTCTGAAGCACCTCTAGGTATGCAGTAACAGTGCCATAGCTGGAGAATTAAGTAGTTAGTCATGCTGAATTGATTGCCGAGCATCTCAGTTCTCACTTGTAAATGCTGCCCCAGCCAAAAAGCTCAGAGAAAGGAATAATTGCTAGGGAAGTGTTTTCAAAAGCTGTACCTTACTCTCATTTTTCAAGATAAAGGTGCTTACTATACTAGGAGGACAGTGATGCGGCTGTTCTGTGTTCCCTTGGGACAACTAAGGCCTGGGGAGCCTCTTGGAGCCCTCCCCGGGGGCTGACAGACTAGGGAGGGTGGTCGCTGCCCAGCAGGGGCTGCCGAGGGACCAGTGCATATGCTGCGCTGCTCATCCTTGGCGGATGCCAGGCACACAGGTGTGCCCAGGTGAAGGAGGGGAGACCCGGGATCCGATGGGGCAGGGGTCCTGGGGCTGCGCAGCCTCCGCCCAGCCTTCCACAGTACCTGAAGGAACAGCTCGTAAAGAATCTCTTCTCGCACTCGGGCCTCTAAATTGCCCACAAACACGGTCCTGTCTGCCTCCTCCTGAACAGGGAACATCCCTGCCGGGTCTGCAGCCTGGGATGGAGGAGGTGCGGAAACCCCGCCCCTTAGACCAGTTTTATGGCGGTGCCTGGGCCCAAGAAGATGATGGTGCCTGCAAGGCAGAGAGAGCTGAGGGCGGAGCCACGCCCCTGGGAACCGCCCACCCAGCCCCGCCTCCACCCAGCTGGGCTGGTTTATGGGAGTAAGAAAGACTAATCAAGGGCTGGAGAGATGGCTCAGCGATTATGAGCACTCACTGCTCTTGTAGATGACTCGGGTTCGATTCCCAGAACCCTCATGCCGGCTACGAACCTTTCTTAACTCCAGTTCCATGGGAATCCGAAGCCCTCTTCTGACCTCCATGCCTGTAATTAGGAGTTCAAGCCTCAGTACAGAACAGCCTCAGCTACATAACAAGTTTGAGGCCAGCCTAGACTATGTGAAACCCTGTCTCAAAAAGCTAAAAAAAAAAAAAAATGAAGGAAAAAAAAACCTCATAAGGCCCCACCCACTCAAAACAGACACTATTGACAATTGGTGACTTCTGGGAGAGGGAGAGTAATTTTTCTTTGGGATGTTTTAAGATTTACTACCTTCACTATCTAAGCTCTTAAACTTATAAGAAAAGATTTTCTTCATCGTCTCCAAAGCGTAAATGAATAAATCACTAAGATTTTAAAGTTAAGTTATTCTACCAAGCCTAGTCTACATAGCGAGTTCCAGGTCAGCTAGAGCTACAGGGAGACTGTCTCAAAAAATAAAAGTTATTCTTAAAATACCTTTTGAAGGAATGCATACATATGTAGATGCTGCTACAAGAGATGATTAAAATTAAAGTTGATTTATCTTGGAAGGTTCCCAAGAGAAGTTTTTGACAATGACAGCTAATATTTCTGTGGACTCTAAGAGGCAGTTGAACTTGAGAAAACAGCCCATATCAAAGAATCCTTGGAAAATGTCTACAAAGAATTATAAAATCATCCTGTAACGATCATTCAGTAATGAGAACAGGATTTGATTTTTAGTTTGGTGCAGTTTAAATTCAGGAGGTGAGTTTATACTTCAAACAATTACTTTCCAAAGGAAAGAACACATTTAAGGGAAACCGAATTTCTCCTTTAAATCTTGCCGTACCATGTTGTATGAGGTGTGACACATGACATGTTTAGATTCTGATTATGTTTAAGGAATGGATTGACTAAATAGGATTACTTCATCTGATGGTTATTTTCTGATTGCTTCTTAGGTGTCAGGAACTGTTTTTAGGCCTGAGAACAAACATCTACATACAAATCTGCATAGTGGGAGAGACAGACTTTCTATAGATACAAATATATGTATCAGTAACTTTAGTATTTACCTTTGGTTATTACTTCACAAATCCATAAATATTATTTCTTTGTATTTCCTGTGATCACAATAAATGTAGCAGGGTAAGAAGAAGTTAAGGTAAATAAATGCATAATAAACAGCAAATGTGTGTTATCAAGTTAATGAACAACTGGAAGTTTCCATTATGTGTAAATCTCTTTATTTACCTTTCAAATCTCATCCAAACCAATGTTTTTCTCCTTCATTTTGTAAAATTCCAGTGTTTACATATAAACTTACACGTCATAAAGCTTTGTGTTTCCAAATAATTAATGATCCCATCATATTGTTTATGGAGATTTGAGCCATTCTTTGTAAAAAAAATATGAATGATTTTGATGTTTTAACAAACCCCCTTCTCTTTGGCTCTATATACATTTATGGTCATTATATTTCTAATGTTCTTATTCAATGTTCTAATATCTGAAATTCAGCTCATACACTTGGATGTTTGCACAAAATTTGATCTCAATAGCTCATTTTTATGGTGCAAGGATACTGCTTTTCTAACTCACATTGCATGCACGAATGATAATCTAGCAAAAGTTAAAAATAAGTCTCTTTGCTTTTAGTGTTCATTGGTCCATTAGTCACATATGAAGCTTTAATGGGATAGGTGCATAGAATATTCTATAAAAAAATTAGACTTTATTAGGATGCCTAATACTTCTCCTGTATGAACACATCAAAAGTTTAAACATATAAATACATAAGCATGCATAAATACATATGCATACACACGTGTGTATACATGTATATATATATAATGTACATGTATATGTACTTATACAGAGATAAATGATAGATGAATGGTAACATGGATGAATGGATAGATAGATAGATAGATAGATAGATAGATAGATAGATGGATGACTAAATTCACTTTGGTATCTGAGTCCAGGAAGTATATCCTGTTAGGAATTCCTGAACTATGCAATCCAGAATAGCTAGCTGTCCCACATATGTGGTAGCATAGCTCTTTCAAGTTACACTCTTACAAACTCTTCTTGCTATGAGTCAATGTATAAAAATCGGTACCTAATACAGTTCCTGACACATATGTGGATTATAATAAATATCTGTTGAGACAGTGGTATTTGAAAGAATGTCTTTACTGTGTACAGCTAAGCCTATGCCTGGATTTCCCTAGGTACTTGGCAAAAGTTGTATAAGCAGATGTACAAATCTACTGAATGAAATAATAAGTGGAGAAAGTCAGCAAAAATAACTAATAAAGGCTCATAGTATATGCTTTTTAATTGATTTCATTTTGTCTATATGTAAACAGTTATTAACAGTTGAGTGTGGTGGAGACTACATTAACTGATGATTAGCAAAGATATTATAATAGAGGCATCTTTCAAAATAAAGTCTCAAAAAGACATGGACTTAGTGATGACATCTTATCAGTTGTTATATTTCCTGATTTAAAAGTGAGTATATCATGTCTGGATTTCTGAAACTTAACTCTAAACCTGAGTAGTTTCTGATAATCTATGATGGAAATAAAACATGCTGTTCTTACCATATCACTGGAGCTTTCCTGAAATGTGTGTTTTCTAAAAATAAATTATGTTTTTACACTTGCAATTTGTGTATACAGACCAACCTTATTTTTTTTTTTTGCTTTCAAATCTGTTGCTGAGAAAGAAAATTAGAGAGATAGAAGTAAGTGACATTGCTATCATGTTAAAAGCAATCTTTTCAAATTTTAGTCTCAAGAGACTAGAATTTAGAATTTTGCAATAGTCACTGTTCTAGAGGCATAGTGACATACACATGAAGAGCTTGACAGCTTCATGGTTGCAGACTGCATTATTGATTTTAAGGTATGTGAAGAACTTAGTTTGTAATCAAGATGAACACAAAATACAACTTTTCCTAACTCCTTCCATTTCTGGCATTTCTAAAACACATTTTTTTCACTAAGTTTTCCATAATTATATCTTCTTAGACCACTTCTGAAATCCTGAGGTAAAGGGATAAAGAAGTTTACAATTAAAAGTTTTCATTCCCTTAAATTCAACTTGGATAGCTGAACATTTGTTTGTGAGTAATTGCAAAATCTTTGACTAAAAAAATGATCTCCTAACCACAAACCAGTGGGAGACAGCAAACTACCTCACCTACTGCAACAGAAGGAGGAGCAAAAGTATTTCTGCAGTGAAGTCTGAGACACTCCTATCTCAGGGGAACTTACCGAATTACGGAATTTCTTTTTGGATGACTCCCAGTGTTTCTTTTACTGTTTTTTATTCCAAATGAGAATATACATTTTTCTGTGTTTGATGTGCTGGGTAAGAGCTGGTAAGATGCTTATTAATAACCTATCTTTAAAAAAGTGCCAGTAAAATAATTAATAATGTTTGTATTTTGATATGACATCATAGTATGAAAAATAAATTATGATTATGGGAAATTTTTACCAAACTGGATTGCTATGAAGAAGATATGTGTGTATACATACATATATATATATGTGTGTATGTATTTGCTAATTTGAAATGCTATTATTTTATTATTTATGAGATCAGTAATGAAAAAAATTTCAAAGACTATGTAAGTAGGGAGTAAGTAGGATAAAGAACATATAAAGAATAATTAAGTAGGAAGAAATTAGTTCAAAGTTTGAAAATTATGACTGAATATGGATTTTGTTTCCATTTTATTAATCTGTGAAGCCTTATTTATGAAGGATATTCTTGCATAGATAATTCGTTACAAAGCAAACAAACTGCTAATACCAGAGAGGTTTTTTTTTTCTTGTTTCATATAACAAAAGCCCCAAACTGGCTATGATAATAAGGAAGAACCATAATTCTGTTTTTAGGTGTATGGTAACAAAGTTTACTAATTTTAGTAATATGACTACTTTATGGTTGAACAACTTGTTCTACCATGAAGTGGAACTACTTGGATCTAGTAGAACAGGTCATTCTAATTTATGTTAATGAAAACAGGAGCAAATTTAAAAGTCATGATGATTAGTTATTTGTTGAAATTTTTTGAAAGATTACTTTCATTAAATTCAAATGTCTTCCTAAAAATTTCTGAATATACACTCCAAAAACATTAAAATACCAACTACAGATTAAAATTATTGTTTAAAGTTTCATTTGTGTGTTTCATCTAATCATGATTTTTTTAAATGTTTGAATTTTGTATTCAAATACAGAATCTAGATTCTATACAGTCTATAGTGCATATTTTACTCTTTTGGAAGTGTTTTAATGGGTATTTTCTGTTTGTATAATGAATGGTTATTAGCATTTTGATTTGAAATCCAGAAAAGTTTGAAGTCTTGGCCTCTATTCTCATGTGTCCTTCTAGTAGCAGAGCTCAAGTCATTTTGATACATAGTTATACAAATTTTGGGGGCAGACTGTCTGAGAGTATTGTTTTGTCTAGAATTAGCTAGTTGCCTAAGTTTTCAACTGGGAAAACACAGATACTTTTGCTAAATGTATTTTTGTTTCTGTTGAACTTTTAACTTATATATAATGACTACTAAATTAGGAAAAGCAATACTTTTAGTATTAAAACAGCAAAGAGAAAATAAGGAAATTAAAGTATTTTGTAATTTTGTAATTTATGTGCACTGTTAAGTTTTCCTCATTTCCCTGAAATCTCCAGTTGACTGGGGAATATTGTTTGCTTTTCAGTAGATTATTTAATGTAGTTATCTTTCATTCACCTTGCACTTGATTCTTTCCTTACTAAACATTCTATGTTATATCAGGTCTCACTTATGAACTGTGAACTCACTGAAAACATTCTGAACAACTGAGATTACTCAAGCATTTAAAAAATTATGTATAGAA